GGGGGGGGGGGGGGGGAGTGATAGGCTAATGGGCCCTTCCCTCTGTCATTAAAATGTAATAGTTACATGTTGGACTTAATAACAGTATGGGGTACATTATGTTGAACAGTGGAGAGTTTGTGAAATTTATTATTATTATCATCATTTATTTTTACAGTAATTTTTCTAAGTTATGTTTGTGAAAATTGTTTAGATTTTTTGGAGTTTCATTGCCAAATACTTGTTGCTAGTCAGTTTAAATGGGGGTATCCAATCCCAGTCCTTGTGATAACTACATCTTTGTTCCTGGGTAGGGTGAAGGGGATTACAATGTTATAATTAGGAAAAATATGTACAATCACATGAACATGAAAAAATATTTAGATGTATCTTATGAATCTTTAATTGTAATCATAATTATGATTTATATGTATTTCTTATAGATAAATGTTTAAATGCAATTAATGTTAGTTACAACAATCACCCACATTAAAGACAATAATACCTAACTACAAAATTATGAAAAGTCTCGATACTGAAGATTAAAACTTGCATACTAGAAATGTGTTGAAAGGATGAACTTTCAGTAAACCTACAACAATTTTAAAAATCAAAAACAAACAAACGATGCTTACATGTTGGAATAGTGTGTGCTAAGTGCTCCCTTAATAACGAGAACATAAACCGATGAGCCCGACTGCGAGTTGCCTCCAACACTGTTTCAACTAGTATTTTTGTAGAACAATGAAATAGAAATAGCAATAGAAATTTAATAAAGAGGTTCTGAATAATTGTTTCAAATTAATCACACCAAACAAATTTAACAAGTAAAAATATGAAGGAGATATTATTGTTCATTGATTCGTTGGTATCATTGATTGGTAAACATGCACCTTATTCAATATGAATAGCTTAACTTATAAACACAATCTATCACTTTCTAAAATTCAAATAATTGCCTCCAAGAAATGCCTTTAACTTTAGCTTGAATTCAGATAGTTAAAACAAAGTACCTACAAACTTATTGATTAGGAATAGATTAGTTGAAATGCCAATAAAGATTAATTCAAAATATTTTGACTTTTTCGAAAAAAAAAAACATTACTGATGTACTATGTGATATAATTGGTTTCTGTGTCTTGTGAGTCATTTAATCAGCGTTCTAGACTACATTATATTTAACTAAAAAATAAAGTACCTATATTAAAACAAATGTTGTGGACATTTTTTGAAATAGTACTTTATCGGTAATCCAGTTTATCTGTTTCTAACGGATAAGTTTAACTTTGTATAAAATAACCATCTGAATTGTTCGTGGGGGCATGTTTTTGAATTTTCAAAAGTGGTAAGTGTTTGCAAAGTGAAAATGTTAATTCACATGTTTTTACATGATACATATTTTAATCTCAGTGATTGATTTGTTATTTTGTTAGCAATTTCACAGATTTATACTTCATATTTCTTTTGAAATGAATTTTTGTACTCTTCATCCTTATTTAAATGCAATTGGATGGTTCGAGTTACTGTTTGGTTATTAAGAAAGCACACACTACTCCATCACGTTAACATGGTTTTTTTGTTTTTAATTATAAATATTTGTATGTTTACTTGAAGTTGATAAATTCAACACATTTCCAGTATGCAAGTTTGTTTACAAAATTAGAAAATTTTCTAAAATTCAAATACTTGCGTCCAGGAACTGCCTTTAGCTTTGACTTGAATTCGGACAATTAAAGCAAAGTACCTATAAACTTAATGGTTAGGAATAGATTAGCTGGAATGCTGAAATAGATAAAATAGTTCTTTATCGGTAACCCAGCTTATCTATAATTCCTGACCTATAAATTTGTACATCGTTTAAATTATCTGAATTGTTTGTGGAGGCACATTTATGAATTGTTGAAAATGGTTATTGAGTGTATAAGTAAAATTGTTCATATTTGATAAGGCTCTTGTATATCAATCAATGGCAACTTCCAGTTGGATGGTTTGGTTAGGGCTCATCCATTTAACACACAGCTAAGCTGCATGCAAGTTTCAATCTCCAATGTGGAGCCATTTCACGTTTTTGCATTCACATTCATACTTCTGCAGTTCGGTTTTGTTGTCTTTGATGTGTGTGATTGTAGTAACTAACATTAATTTTATTTCAATACGTTTGTGTATCAAAAGTCCTTACAGGTCATAGATATGATTGACTTAAGATTTATAAGGTAGGTAAAGTTAAGTATTTTTCAATGTCAATGTGTAAGGGTATTTTATTTCTGTATTGAATTATGTGTTATTATCTGCAAATTTGTATCAAACACACAGCCCCTGATTTCAAAATTAAGCAGACCCGATGAAGTACAATAAATAGGATGAACAGCTTTTTTTTCATTCCAATAGGTACAATAATATTGTTTTCATTTCACATCATTTTTATTTGTTCAATATGTTTGCATACAGTAATATTTGTTGTTAATGGCCTTCAATGTTGAAGTTAAGTGCCCAAAATAGTGCAGTTCTCGGGCAGACATATTTAATTGTAGCTCTTATTCATCTTGGTATGATATTATTACTAAACCATTTGAGAGTGCCAATTACTGATATTGGTCACCTGTAAACTTAATTTGCCTAAATGGGTAATCTGGAAGTTTTATCAAGACTTTAAATATTGACGAGTGTATAGAACTGGACTCTGAAGAGTTCCTATATGATTTAGGTATGAATATTGTTCTACGATGAATTAGGTTCAAAATCAAAAATGCCTTGAATCCAGAAGTATATGGAATGAACAACAACACAAAAATCCTCGGATTCCAAATTGCCTTTTTGATATTTGTGTAGGGAAACAAAAATTGATGTAAACGGTAGATGCTAAAATATTTCAAATGAAAATTATTTGGTTTTGTTTTTCATTTTTATCCTCATCTGGATTCCAATTTATTATTGTACTTCTAATATTTAATTCACTTTTTTTATCACAAGTAGAAGTGGTATAATAATTAATTCACCTGAACGTTTATACGAGTATTAATTGTAATTTTAAAGCATATCACCAATTTTGTATAACTCATATTTACTTACATTTTATTTTATTTTTAATATTTAATATTTATATAATTGTTTCTAAATAAGTAATATTGTGCTTATTTTATTATTCAGGAATTATGTATAATATATATAGTCGATATTTTGTGTTTTATATTCTTTATAAGTGTAACCCATAACTGTAATGTATTTGTATTCTACTTATCTACTTAACAACAAACTATACACTATTGTATGTAACATTAAGTAATGTAAAGTAATTAAAAATAATAAAAATATCATTCATAATGGAAACTAAGTAGTGTATAACTTGTGTGTTCATATATGTATTCCTGTTTAACTGCATTTTATTATTTAAAATACCATATCGATGAAATAATAATTATTCTGCGGCGGAGACAACCACGGGTAAAGTGGGTTGCACACTTGGGCAGCAAAAACTGCATGATTGTGTATCTAAAGTTAATTGAGTTTATAGACTCAAAAACTACTGGATCGTTAAATAAAAGTCAATAAAAGTTATATCCATAGATCCTTTTGACTAGGAGGGTATATAAGGCAATAAGCCTTAACCTTTGACCCTTTCAACCGCTACAGGTAACTAAAGTTTAGTTACTCACACATACATTTTTTCCAGCTCATGAAAAAAGAATACGGTTTTTTATATTTTTTTTTTTTAACGGTTTCTATTGGTTACATATTATATAACTATTATTATTAAAAGAATTTTTGTTGTAGATAAATATTTATAAAAAAAACCAAACATGTTCACGAGCAATGCTGGGCAGGGCAGCTTATTACTGTATAATGACTGAATAACTTAAATTTTATCTAAAACAAATCAAAAAAAGGTGGACAAGTGGGTAAGCTCTGCTATACAGCCAATTTCGAGTAGATCACTGTAATGGATGTTTCATTTGCTTATAAAAAAAATCATTGAATACGAAAAATTATTCTGTGCTTAGAATGTCAGCCTTTAGTACTACGTATAGTTTAAGATAATATTGCTAATAAAATATTTTTTTTTACTTATATTATGTTAGTAATGAGTAAGTTGAATTAATTTTTCCCGATAACATTGTAATTAAAAATGTCATTGTGTGTATATAATATGCATTTATATACTTTAAAACAGCGTTTCCCAAAGTGTGTTCCGCGGAACCTTAAGGTTCCGTGGGACTAGTCAAGGGTTCCGCCAGATGTATGAGACTATTGAGAAAATTATGTTTATTTAATGTTTGTTATTTATAATATTTTTGATTGAAAATTTTTTTTTTAACTAAGTTTAATAATGAAAAGTCATCAACAGTATCATTAAAATATTATTTAGACTTGAGAGTTTAGAGAATTGATTTTCCTTTTTTTATTTAGAAAAATTGTAGTTGAGTTGGATTAGACATTAGGGTTCCGCGAAACACACACAATTTTTTAAGGGTGCCGTGGTCGTAAAAGTTTGGGAACCGCTG